GGCCGAAGCGATAGTCAGAGGGCGGCGCCAGCAGGCCTTCAGAGCCGCAGATTCTGGTCCTGGAGTGGGGAAGGGGCCAGGCCTCCATTCCAGCCACCTCGGCTACACCCCTATATTGGACCAACTCCTCTGCCCCAACACCCATGTTATCTCTCCCCACCCCTTACCCCCAGCCTCGGAAAAACGCCTCCAAAGTTTGGAAAGTTGGATGGATGCCAACTCACGGTTCTGGAGGGGAAGAAGCTGTGTTACCTGGGAGAGGAGGTCTGCCGCCTCACCCCTCCTCACACTTTTCCTGTGCCCATGGATTACCCCCAGAAAGGGTTTTTCGTGGGTGCCCTTAGATTGATCAGCAGGATCTAGGGGGGTCCTGCCAGGGCATTTCTGTGGGATGTGTTCTCTCATCTGGCAACACCCCAGGGCTGGGATAACATTAACTATTTTCTTGCCGTGGCCAGCCTGGAGCAACTGTAACCACCATGATAATGTGGTTCAAGGGAATGTGTGTGCATGGCTTGGGGGAGGTCAGGTCAGACCTAAAAATACCTTCCTTCTCCACCCCAGGCCCCTTGGAGCCTGGGAGGCAGCTGACTGGGGCCTTTCTTTCAGCTGTTCCTTGTCCCTCTGGTTGCCACTCCCTTTTCTCAGCCTGGGGTGGTGGTTGTGGTGGTGGTGGTGTAAGAGTCTGGAACTCAGTGGGGAATCCTCAAGTTCATAGGGCTCCTTAATCCTAGAGTTTGGGTATATGTCTAGTTTGAAGAGGGGGATGAGAAGGAGGATTCTGGGGTTCCCGGGTGCCCTTCTCTCCCATCTACCCATCCTTCTTGCACTCAGGTTCAAGGAACCAGAGCCTCTAGTCTGGTCGTTGCTTATCTACCTTCTTTGGTAAAGAAACTCTAGGATGCAGGCTAGGGCAGGGGCTTGGAGAGCCTGAAGCCTCAGTCATCACCCGCTTCTCTGGACTGTCCTGGGCCAATGTGTGTATGTGAGTTGGGGAGGGCAAAGAAGCAGCCCCCTTTATAGACGTCCTGGAAATACCTGAATGTGTGGCTGCTTGAGTGGTCAGGCAGTGTCCATTCCAGCCAAATCAGGAGCCTAGCCAGTGAGACTGAGCCAGCCTACCCCAGGGATCTCTGGGGGCTGTGTTCTAGGCCATGTCTTGGGGCACAGCCAAGGGGCATTTAGATTGATGCAGCCTGGAAGGTACCATGGGAACAGGATGTAGGCAGTGGCAGCTGCGGGTTAGAGGGTAGGTTCTTGATCTCTCTTGCCCCCTTGGGGAGGAGTATGATCACAGTGACTATGAGGAGGCGGCCGAGAAAAAGTCCTGCTTTTTCTCACCCCCCTCTCCAGTAGCTAAATCTGCCCCATGGCAGTGCGCCGGGATTGGGGTTAGATGTTTACTTTCCAAATACCTTTCCACACCCCCTCCCTGGAAATCTAGTTTTGGGTCTCCAAGTGCTGAGAGCTGCCACTACCCTCCCCACTCTGAGAAAAAGGAAAGCAAGAGTTGAGCATGAGAAAAGCCAAGCTGGGCCCCCTTGGCAGTTGGTGATTCCTCTTCTCCCTGGGGGCCACGGGCACATTCAGCGCCCCCTCTGCTCCAGCTGTGGGGGAAGGGGGAACTTTCCCCAGCTCTCTCCGTCTGCCCCCCCACCCAGCACTGCAGGCAGCCTCTCCCTTCCCCCAGGCCTCTGCAGCCTGCCCAGCATCTTAATTAGCTTTGCTGTCTAATGAGCCTCCAGCTACTAAGCGCCTTCCCCTCACCCCTTACCAGCTTCTCTGGCTTGGTTTGGGGGTTTCTGTGTGTACTTTCTAGGGCTCTCTTGCACTGTCCCCCACTCCATGGCTGTGGTCTGGGCCTTCCCTCCTCTTGAGGCTGTACCATATCAGGAAGAAGATGGGGGGTCTGTTCAGATCAGGATCAGGGAATGATATTGCCAAGGCTTGGCTGTAGTTCTGGGCTTGATGGGATGAAGGTTGGGAAAGGGCTTTTCTGATTTCACTCTTGTTCCTTCCTGGCTTCTCCAGGGCAAATACAGCAAGAGGAAAGGGCGGTTCAAAAGGTCGGATGGGAGCACATCCTCAGATACAACATCCAACAGCTTTGTCCGCCAGGTAATGGGGAGGCTGAGAGGACGGAGGTGGCTGGTTGATGGACCCCAGCACTGGGAAGCTGGGTCTGAGGCTTTCTCCAGACACCTTCCTCCATGTCATTTGTCATTTGCCTGAAACCACACATCACCTTGACACCCCATGACCTGTCCTACATATCATGCCAGCTGCACCCACTCCCTCAGCCCTTGCCCAGCCCCTCCCCCAGCACCAGGCACCAGCCCCTGCTGCCTGCCTGCGTCATCTCATTCAGGGACAGCCTGGCCTGCCTCCTTCTAGCTTGCTTCAGGCTGTCACCCACTCCCCCTGCCGGCTGTCTGCTTCCATGTCCTCCCCCAGAATCTGTGACAGCATGGGGTAAAGGCAGGTCCTAAGAAATGAGGAGCCAGGACATTTGAGTCCCTGGAGCCCTAGTTAGGTATGGGTCAGGGAAATGTCCTCCTCACATCCAGATATGACTGTTCTTTAGTATGCACAGAGCAAGTGAGTTGAGGGAGGCAGGGTAGAGACAGGAGGGAGTTGACTTTAAAGAGAACTTTAGCCCAGAAGCCCTGACTGAAGGCGGGGGTGGGGGGTGTTACTGAATAGCTTTCTGGGGTCTTCTGTGCTCAGTCAGGAAGATGCCATTCTCATCTCTATTCTAATTCTCAACCCCAGGCCATCTCAGGCTCAGGGAGAGGCAGTGAGAGAGGCATGTGGTTGCTATGACTACGGAGCATCTCAACAAAGCCTGGTACCCAAAAAAGGCATGAAGGGCTTGGGATCAGACAAGGAAAAGAAGTATGTTGAAGAGAAAATGGGCAGGGCACATGAGGGCAGAGACAGTAGCGAGGAGGAGCCCCATGGAGGTTAAGCCCCCCTTGGGCCAGGAGAGAGAGAGTGGTGCCAGGCAGATCCACCACAGATTGGAGTGAGGCCCTTCTTTTTGATTCCTCTATATCCAAAGCACTTGACAAACCACAGGCCTGACTTAAGAGGGTCAGGAAAGGAACCTTTTATCCCAGTGTCTCCTAAGTGTACAAACAGGAAGTCCTCTCTTCAATCTATCCCTCATCCCTCCTGTTGCAGGACTGGGCCAGGGCCGGCGTTAGGAAGAATGATGCTGTACTTAGGGTAACCCCTCTTGACAGAAAAGGGCCTTGGTTCCCTTAGTGTTTGGCAGTGCAAGTGTCAGACCCCAGCCTCCAATCCTTCCTCATCTCAACTCCCTAGCTCTGACTACCCCCAGTAGGCGGTGGGGAGTGAGGGGGGTGCAGTCCTTGCCACATCTCTGAGCTAAATATACCCAGCAGTTTGCACATGTAGCAACTCTGCTTGTAACCTGAGCCCCCTCGGGGAACGGGCAGTTTGGGCCACCTCCTAGGCCAGCAGGACCAGGCACTGAGGGCGCTGGGATGGAGGCGCTCAGCCGGACCCTCGTGGTGGTGAGCTGGGGATGGGGAGGGGTGGGTGGGAACAACCCCTCAGGAAAGCTGGTGGGGGGGACCTTCATTCCAGCTTGTCTCCTTGCCTTCTCACTGTTTCCCTGCCTCTCACCATTCCTGATATGTCTGTGTGCATGCATGCGTGTGTATGCGTGTGCGTGTGCGTGCATGTGTATGTTGGGTTAGTAAGTGCATCTCTGCCACACTATCTCTGGGCCCGTTTCGTTGGCTCTCTACACGTCTGTTTCCCTGATGCTGGGTGCTCCTATCAGGAGGGGTAAAAAAGTGATAGATTAGCTGGTTTTCACTCTCCTTCCTTTATGTCTCTTTGTCTCTCCTCCAGCTTCAATTGACCTCACCCCCACCTCCAGTCTTTTCTCTTAAGAGTCTCCTATTTTCATGATTTGGCTGGAAAAAGGATGGGCAGCTGCCCTAGTTAATGACCAGGGCCCTCCAGGGAAGGTGGGACATTGTTTTCTATCTCAGGTCCCCTCCATACCAAGTTAATGGGCATTTCTGGCTAAATGACCATTTCATGCCCTCAGAAAAGAACCCCCCCATCTCTGCAGTCCTGTTCTTTCATACGTCACCTCCCTCCCCTCATAGCAACAGCACTGCTGCACAGTGACACAAATCCACATTTACTGGCTCCTGCCCTCAAGTGTTGCACACCCTCAGGGACACTGACACCCAGAGTGCCCCTTGTGTACTCTCATGCGTACCTGTCTGTATTCAATTATGCATATCCAGCACATACCATGGAACGCACCCTCCTAAACACACTTGAAGTTGCACATCCAAGCACACCCATGAGTAAGCATGTTCATTCACACTTCGGGTCTAGACAGGCTATGTGTGTCTCGCACATATGCCTGCATCCCTGTGCTCTGAGATGGTCAGTGTGGTCAAGGCTAGCTTCCTGGTACACTCAGACTTCTGAGCTGGCCTTAACCCTGGCAGCGGTAGCCCTAGAACTGGGGAAGGGCCTGCCCCATGTTCTGCTCTTAACTTGCCTCTTCTGCCTGTACCACCCCAGGAATCTTGGACTCTCTTTTGTGCCTTATGAGAGTCTGAAAGTTGGTACTCCCCTGATTCTGGCAGAGGAGGTAGGATTCTCTCTTTCCTTACCCTTGAGCAAAAGATAGCATAATTTTTGATGATCCCATCATACCGAGCGGGCTGCCCACTGCCAACAGTGCAGAAAGCTCAGGGCTATGCTGGTGGCTACAGTCCCTGGAGGGACCCACTGGGTTTCTGCTGAGTCTATCTCAGCCGGTGTTGGGGACAGGAGAGGGAAGGAGGAGCAGGAAGTGGAGACTTGTCCCTGGCACTTCTCTCCTGAGCTTTGCCCCTATCAGGTTCCCACCCCTCCCTGGGCCCCAAGCAGCTGTCCTTGGACCTGCCTTAACCCCTGGCTTGCTGCTATCACCCTTCACAGGGCCACACTCTTCCTGGGGGCCTACAAACCTCCGTCTATACTTCTTCTCATTTAATATCACCTTCTCCTAGCCCTGTGGCATCATGCTGGCCTGGCTGGGCTTGAGGCATCCATGATGGGTGGCACCTACATGCCTTCTGAGGCCCAGGAGCTGAGGAAGCAGCATTGGCCCTGAGCTGGCCCTGTCTGTTTTCAGGGCTCAGCGGAGTCCTACACTAGCCGTCCATCGGACTCTGATGTGTCTCTGGAAGAGGACCGGGAAGCCTTAAGGAAGGAGGCAGAGCGCCAGGCATTAGCCCAGCTCGAGAAAGCCAAGGTGAGAAAAAAGAGGGGGCTGTGCTGCCCTATTTTCCCTACCCCCAGGCCTTAGAGACAGCCTGGACAGACCCAGGGTCAAGTCCTGGCCCAGCCAGTTCCTAGCTGGTGTACCCCTGGGCCTCAATATGCCTGTCTTTCACCTGTAAAATGTGGGCTATAGCACCTGCCTCCTTATACAGTATAATCTGTGTCTAATACTGTTTTCACACATAATAGGAGCTTGAGAAATGCTAAAAATTTACGTTTCTTACTGGAGTCAAGCTTCCTAGGCTGACTCTTACTAGCTGTGTGATCCTAGGCAAGTCACTTAACCTTTCTGAATTTAATCTCTTCATTCATTAAAATGAAGAGAAGAATATTTCATAGAGTTTTTCTGATAAGTAAATGAGATAATGCATGTGAAACATGTACACAGTATCTGGCACACTAAACAGTGGCTTCTATCATCATCATCATCATTATTATTATTAATGTTGTTGTTATTATTATTCCTCTGAGTGTCATTCTGGGTACCCCACCACTAATACTAATCATTCCCCAGTGTACCCTCCACCCCGAGAGGGCTGAATTTTTTATTTTTTATTGTGTAATTTAGCATACATAGCAAAAAACTGCATAAACCATTCGATGTAACTTTTAATGAATAATTTACAAAACAAACCTCCACGTAATCACCACCCCAATCAGGAAGTTGTGCATTACACTATCATTTAATCCTCTGATTGTCATCCTCCCTGTGTGCCTCCTCTAGACCAAGCCGGTGGCATTTGCTGTGCGGACAAATGTCGGCTACAACCCGTCTCCAGGGGATGAGGTGCCTGTGCAGGGAGTGGCCATCACCTTCGAGCCCAAGGACTTCCTGCACATCAAAGAGGTGGAGAGAGTGCTTGGCATCTGGCGGGAGGGCAGGGTAATGGGTGCCAGCAGAGGGGCAGCCAAGCTGTAGTGGGAAAAAGACTTTTGAGCCAATCTGGGCTGAGTCTGCTGTGCGACCTTAGACAAATCTCTCCACCTCTCTGAGCTTCTAATTTTTATTGGTAAAAATGGGGTGGTAATGTCTCAGTCACAAGGTAGTTGGGCAGGGTTGTGATGAGGCCTCTTTTTTTTTATGTTAAGTATATATATACATTTATTTATAAAACGACATTAAAAAATTAGTATGATTTGGTGAATTTGACTTCTCTAGGAGCTATACACGCTGATGAGGCCTCTTAAGTGGAGTGACAGTTTTCCAGGCTCATGTAGGTGTCAGCATTTACTTCTCTCCCTGCCATTCCAGGGCAGGGTGGACACGTGTAGAGAGGAAGGACTCGGAACAGGGATGTGCTGGGCGTGGGGCTCCGTGGCCCAAGAGGATGCTGGTCCTGGAGTTGTCCTGAGAATTGGGGGCTGTACTCAGAGGCTGGAGTCAGGGACTGGGCTCTTTGAGGGTGCCATCCCCAGGGCAGGATAGGCAAGTCTGGGAGTGGTTTCCCCTGGAAAGTGGCTGCTGGCTTGCACCTCCAATTTCCCTCTTGGTCTCTCCCACCCACCTGCCGTTGTTGTTTGCAGAAATACAATAATGACTGGTGGATCGGGCGACTGGTGAAGGAGGGCTGTGAGGTTGGCTTCATCCCTAGCCCTGTCAAACTGGACAGCCTGCGTCTGCTGCAGGAACAGAAGCTGCGCCAGAACCGCCTCAGCTCCAGGTGTCTGGCTGGGGGCGGGGCACTGCCAACCCTGGGAAAGGCCATCCTAGCCAGGACTAGGCCTCAGGGGTTGACCTATTACCTAGAGGGCACAGATTTGCCTGTGGCATCACCAGTGGGGCTGGAGAATCTTGGGGCAGGGCAGCATGTGAGAGAACAAGATTCCCCCACCTTCACACCCACCCCTTTGCTCACAGCTCCGTTTGCCTCTCTTCCCACACAGCAAATCAGGTGATAACTCCAGTTCCAGTCTGGGAGACGTGGTGACTGGCACCCGCCGCCCCACGCCCCCTGCCAGTGGTAAGAGCTGCCACCTCCCCAGAGAGTGGGGGGGAGCTCCTGGGTGGGGTAGTCTCCCCACTGCCTTTCCTCTCCTTTCCCTGAAGTAGGGAGCACCCCAATCTTGAGTCCTCCCAACACATCCTGTGGTCCTCTCTCCATGAAGAGTAGGACACCCCACAACTGGGCCCGTGAGCGCCCATCCTCTCATGTCTCTCCTCTCCCATTTCTTCAGTAGCTCCATCTCTCTGCCTGACTCCCCTACCCGTACCCCCCATTCATTTCTCCCAGCCCTGTTCCATTCACCTCTTCTTTCTTTTTTCCCCATCCCATCCCTGCGTTCTGTATTTGTGTCTCCACGTCCATCTCACTCCTCCCCACCTCGCCTCTCTCCTCCCTCTCTTCTGACTCTCCGGTCCAGGTAATGAAATGACTAACTTAGCATTTGAACTAGACCCCCTAGAGTTAGAGGATGAGGAGGCAGAGCTTGGGGAGCACTGCGGCTCTGCCAAGACTAGTGTTAGCAGTGTCACCACCCCGCCACCCCATGGCAAACGCATCCCCTTCTTTAAGAAGGTAATTCTTACTGGGTTCTTAAAAGAGGGGAGGGGGTCAGGGCCCAGCTTTTTGGTAGGGGAGAGGGCTGGAATGGGTTCAGATGTGGTACCAGCCCGATTCCGTGGAGATTAAGGCTTC